TCAGGTCCATATTTTGGAGCGAAGAGTGCAGAAGAATTTGTAGACATATTTTAAAACTACCACATATCACATATAATTCTCAGAACCACCCTAATTTTGCAACAATCCTGTTTTGTAGTTGAGGAAACTGAGATACAGACGGTTAAAGAATTTATCTAAGGTCCCACAGCTAGCAAGTGATGGGATTGGGATTCCAGTGCAGATGGACTGCCTTGGTGCACAGATGCCTCACCCTCATGAAGCTCATACTCCACTGGGAAGACTAACATTAGTCAAGCAACCTCTCTCTCTCTTTCTCTCTCTCTCTCTCTCACACACACACACATACACACCCCTCCCCCTGCCACAAACACAATTACAACCCCTTTAAGTCCTATGAAGGAAAAGTATAGGCAACTATGGAGTGCACAGTTGGAAAACCACATCTAATCTGTGGACACAGGTTGCTGTGTTTTGAGTCTGTAATTTATTCCCTGGCCCCAAGAGCAACTCTTTAAGAGGCTAGCAGACCAGCAGTTTCTAACCCTGACTGCTCATTAAAATCATCAGGAAAGTAGCTTTAAAAAATACCAATGCCCAGGACATACCTCAAATCGATTGAATAAGAATCTCTAGGGCTGGCCAGGGCACGGTGGCTGATATCTGTAATCCTAGCACTCTGGGAGGCTGAGGAGGAAGGACTGCTTGAGCTCAGGAGTTCAAAACTGGCCTGAACAAGAGTGAGACCGCATCTCTACTAAAAATAGGAAAATTAGCCAGGCTGATCCTGGCGTGCACCTGTAGTCCCAGCTACTTGGGAGGCTGAGGCAGGAGGATCCCTTGAGCCCAGGAGTTTGAAGTTTGAGGTTCCAGGGAACTACAAGACTCTCTGTCTCAAAAATAAATAAATAAATAAATAAAGGAAATTGACCCCCCCTTCTTTCCCCACTTTAAAAAAAGTAATATATATATATATATATATGCCTGTATCTCAGCTTATATATATATATAGGCTGAGATCCAGGCATCACTATTTTTTTAAGCTTCCCAGGTGATTCCAGTGTGTGGCCAGGATTGAGAAGTGCTATAGAACTTGATTTTGCACATGAAGGTAAATACAGAAGTGCTAAGGGCACAAGTGGGTGGCAGAGCTCAGTTTCTAGCTTGCTATTGTTCTGGGTAGAGTTAAGAAGCTTTTCAAATTTTTTTTTTTTTTTTGCAACAGAGTCTCACTCCGTTGCCCAGGCTAGAGTGGCATGGCGTCAGCCTAGCTCACAGCAACCTCAAACTCCTGGGCTCAAGCCATCCTCCTGACTCAGTCTCCCAATTAGCTGGGACTATAGGCATGCGCCTCCATGCCTGGCTAATTTTTTCTATATATTTTTAGTTGTTCAATTAATTTCTTTCTATTTTTTTAAGAAGAGATGGGGTCTCACTCTTGCTCTAGCTGGTTTTGAATTCTTGATCTTGAGCGATCCTCCTGCCTTGGACTCACAGAGTGCTAGGATTACAGGTGTGAGCCACTGCGCCCGGCCTCAAACTTTTTTATCTAAAGTAATGTCATGATTTGTGGAAGTTGTTATTATTTGGTAAGGGCAGGCTATGTGGTATTGTGCTGTGGAAAATATTTTGTTTGATTAATGAGTCACTTTTTCATGAAACAGCTGACTCTAAACCTTCTTTGAAGTCAGAGTACCTCTTTTGTTCACTAGCTTCTACCATTCCAAGTATCAGGAAGTAAAAGCAAAGTCCCACTCGCCAATCAGTTGCCAGGGCTCCACCCCCAGGGGTGGGCTGCATAGATTAAATGAGGTTGAAGATAAAAATTATCTTTTTATTTCTGATATTTTTTGAGTCTTTCTGATTTTTCTTCTCTCCCCAGCTCACCCAGAGGTCTATAAGCCATTCAACTCCCAGGCCTCTGCAGGGCCATTCCAGTTCCACAAGGAAAGCAAGGCAAAGCAACATCTTGCTACTGATCGGCTCACCCCTGGGTTTCTTGCAGACTGGAAGCAAGTGTCACTTATTTTTGAATATCCAAATTTTAGCACAGTGCCTTACACATATCAGGTGCTCAAAAACATTTGTTGCATTACATTGATGCACTTACTGCATTTTCAAAGTTCGAAGATGGTGATTCATTCAGCTGAGGGACAAAGATGTCAAGAGAAGGACATAACGTTTGTTGAATACCTATTAGCCAGCTATGTTACAATGGATGTAAATTAATCAATGGAAATCTGTAACTATTGCCTGAAAAAAACATTCCAAACATGCATTTTGCTTATGGCATGAGAGAAGCCACCTGTTCTCATGAACTGTAGTAGTCTTCTAATCGGTCTCCAGCTTCCTGTCTTATTACCTAAGCCCACCTCCATCCACTTCTAACAACAGCCAAAGTGTATTTAAAACTATAAACCTGGGCCAGGGGCGGTGGCTCACACCTGTAATCCTACCACTCTGGGAGGCCGAGGCAGGCAGATTGCTCGAGGTCAGGAGTTCTAAACCAGCCTGAGCAAGAGTGAGACCCCGTCTCTACTATAAATAGAAAGAAATTAATTGGCCAACTAATATATATAGGAAAAAATTAGCCGGGCATGGTGGCACATGCCTGTAGTCCCAGCTACTCGGGAGGCTGAGGCAACAGGATTGCTTGAGCCCAGGAGATTGAGGTTGCTGTGAGCTAGGCTGACACCACGGCACTCACTCTAGCCTGGGCAACAGAGTGAGACTCTCTCAAAAAAACAAAACAAAACAAAAAAACTATAAACCTGGCCAGGCACAGTGGCTCCTGCCTGTAATCCAAGCATTTGGGAGGCCAAGTCCAGAGGATAACTTGAGGCCAGGAGTTTGCAACCAAGTTGGGCAACATAACCAGACCCCACCTCTACAAAACAAAACATTAGCTAGGCATTGTGGGATATGTCTGTGTCCTAGCTACTTGGGAGACTGAGGCAGAAGGATCACCTGAGCCCAGAAGTTTGAGGGTACAGTGAGTTATCATCATGCCACTGCACTTCAGCCTGGGTGACAGAGTGAGAGCCTGTTTCTAAAACAATAAAAATAAAATGGAATAAACCTGATCATTTTCACTTTCTTGGTAAAAATCGCTGCAGTAGGAAAGCCCATAAGGTCTTTCATGATCCGGCCTCTGCCTACCTCTCTAGCTCTGTTCTGGCTTCTTCGTAGCCCTTTCCACCCTAGGGCTTCTGCAACTGCTGTTCCCTCCACCTGTAGCTGTCTCCTCAGGCTCTTTGCATGGCTGGCTCCTTCACATATTCTAGGTCTCAGCTTAAATCTTGCTCCTTAGAAAGGACTTCCCTGAACGTTGTTCTAGCTGTGTTTTCTTACACTGTGTATTTATTTTTCTGACATCCATCAATCACAGGGCCAAATTAAGGATCAAAGTTGTTTACAGCTCTCTGTAATCCACTATCACAGATGCACAAAAATCATGTTATAAACCTTCCAACAAATCCATATCCCAACCCTCCTCCTTTATCTAACTCTCACATACCAAGCCAATATTTCGCATCCCCTAAACCAGCCCAGGGCTAGGTACTGGACAACTAAAGACCAGCCCTATAAGCCAGAGCTTGCTGGCATTATTCAAACCAAACAGTGCTGAGCTATTCACCCTGCCCTGCCTGCCTTGCCCTGGGAAAACACAATAAAGGCTCTGTACCATCCTTTCCCCTCACTCCTGTTTCTCCCTTTTGAACAAACCTGGGGCTTCCTGGTGTGGCCCTGCATTGTGTGGTATACCCCATTCTCTCAGGAACTGTGAGTAATAAATTCTTTCAATGGCATTAGTCTCCCCCCAGGTTGTCACTTAGTCACCTTTATAAATTAAGACCTAGACTTCCCTGTTGACACACAACGAAAACGTGGTGGCCAAAGTTGATGAGGTGAAGTCCACAGTCAAGTTCCAGATGAAGAAGGTTCTATGTCTGGCTGTGGCCGCTGGGCATGTGAAGATGACAGATGATGAGCTGGTGTACAGCATCCACCTGGCTGTTAACTTTTTGGTGTCATTGCTCAAGAAGAATTGGCAGAATGTCCGGGCTTTATATATTAACAGCACCATGGGCAAGCCCAGCACCTGTATCAAGGCACATTCTAATAAATACTAATGCTGCCAACAACAACAACAACAACAAAAAGCCCTAGGCACAAATCAAGCACCCTGCCTAAAGTGATCTCTCTTAGTGGCTCATTACTCTGCTTATTTTCTTCAAAACATTTTTCCCAGTGTGACATTTCCTTATCTTTCTATTTATTTGTTTATCTGTGTCCCTGAAACCAAGTGTAAGTTCCATGAAGGCAAGAACCTCCTTTTGTCTATCTCGAGTACTCTCATGTCCCTGATATCTGGCTCACGGTAGGCATTCAATCAATGTTTATTAAACAATTGAATAAATACATAGAAAAGGAATATTGTTATTTAGTTAGGGAGGTAAGTGTAAGATACTATAGGCAGAATAGTGGTCACAGATAATAGAACTGAATATTTTTTTAAAGTCTTTATAATTTTTAAAAAGCCTCATATTAATAGCATTCCCCAAGAAGCTTGGAATATTATTTTTCGATATTTATATCCTTTTATTTTTATTTATGTATTTATTTTTTTGAGACAGAGTCTCACTCTGTTGCCTGGGCTAGAGTGCTGTGGCGTCAGCCTAGCTCACAGCAACCTCAAACTCCTGGGCTCAAGCAATCCTCCTGCCTCAGCCTCCCGAATGGCTGGGACTACAGGCGTGTGCCACCATGCCTGGCTAATTTTTTTCTATATTTTTAGTTGGCCGATTAATTTCTTTCTATTTTTAGTAGAGATAGTGTCTCGCTCTTGCTCAGGCTGGTCTCGAATTCCTGAGCTCAAGTGATCCTCCTGCCTCGGCCTCCCAGAGTGGTAGGATTACAGGCATGAGCTACTGCGCCAGGCTGATTTTTAAACAGTTCTATGGGGTGAAGGTGGAGGGTAAACACAATGATATTTACTTTGGAAACATAGACTTAAACATTACTTTTATTTTACATGCTGAGAGTGGAAATATGACCTCCATGCAATGCAAGATTTGCAATAAAGCTGAAAATGGACAAGACATTGGCATTTCCATCTATTATAACTGGACCAGAACTTCAATCAGCAGCTGAAAAAATAAACATGGGGTCAGCAGGCATTTGTCCTGCACCCTGAGCACATTCCAAAGTGAAAACCATGTACAAATGACCTAAAGATCTAATGCCTCCTGATTTAGAATTTGTAGTTACATAATTAGTATTGGGTAGAATGGGCCATCGCAGCGTGTCCTTGAAATTGATACCCATGTGGGAGAATGGCTCAGGGGAATCACATTTGGACCAAAAGAAACGGTATAAAATCCCCTATTTCTTCATTTCCAGTGATCAAACAAACTAGGGCCACTAGAAGAGAGACGGTTTTGCTGTAGGTGAGATGGAACAGTGTCAGTCCCGGGTTTGCAGCAGTTGCCTGGCTTTCACAAGGAGCAAAACAGGAACATGTGGAGGCCCAGTGTCTACATCTGTTGGATTGTTGCTCAGGGTGAAGTGACAGCTGCCCTGATCAGGCCCTGCTTTGAAAGGAAGCCCGATGTATAGCAAATCTGAGTAGGGTCAGAGACCCTATCTCTACAGTACATATGAAATACAGAAAATGAGTTACATGCTTTGCTGGGTTTAGGGGTTATATATGGGTATAAGCTACATAGTCATTATTTTCCCAACTGTACATATCTCAGATGATCTTGCTTTTGTCTTCATCTTGATTTTGATTTCTGATGATAGAAAACAACAAATTGGTTGTTACTTTGAGTATCATACTTTTATCTGCCCATATCACCTTCTTTTGGTTCTTTGAATGTGTCATGATTCCTATTCTGGTTTCTATTGCTGTATATGAAACTATTCCAAATTTAGTGATGTAAAAAAAATAACTATCTTATTATGCTCAAAATCTGTGTGTTAGGAGGTTGTGTAGGGGATAATGCAGACGACTTACCTCTAGTTCATGGTGTGGTGTCTTCAGCCACAGCTGGGAAGACTCGAATGCTGGGGGTGACTTGAATGGCTGACAGCTGTGATAATCTGAATATTTCATGACTCATATGCACAAAGGCTGGTCTTGGCTGGGACTGTTGACCAGAACACATACCGACAGCTTCTCCACGTGGCTTGGGCTTCTCATAGTACGGTGGCTGGCTTCCAAGAGGAAGCATCTGAGAGAAAGCATTCCAAGAGTACTAATAGAAGCTGCGTGTTTTTTCTCTAACCCAGACTCTGAAGTCAGGCAGCATCACTTCTGCCACATTCTATTGCTTGTAAGAGAGACAAAGGCTATCCCAGATTCAAGGGAAGGGGAATTTGACTCCACCTCTTGATGGAGTGGTAGCAGAGTTACACTGCAGCAGGGGAACTCTTGAAACCCCCATGAAGCTACTGAGGGACAATGCCCATATATTGCTAGAAGCCCTATTTTTAATAGAGAGCGTCTACGAGGCACATCTTTAAGATACTTAGAAAGTTTTTGTCTAGCTGAAAGTTTCTCTGAAGAATCATGTTAAATCTTTCTGGGGACTTATCAAGATATTATATCTTGCAGGCCCATCCTAACTCTCACCTTTGCTCTGAAATTATTTTTTGTTTGTTTGTTTTTGAGGCAGAGTCTCACTCTCTTGCCCGGCTAGGGTGCCGTGGCGTCAGCCTAGCTCACAGCAACCTCAGACTCCTGGGCTCAAACAATCCTCCTGCCTCAGCCTCCTGGGTAGCTGGGACTACAGGCATGCGCCACTGTGCCTGGCTAATTTTTTTCTATTTTTAGTTGTTTGGCTAATTTCTTTCTATTTATGGTGGAGATGAGGTCTCACTCTTGCTCAGGCTGTTTTCGAACTCCTGGGCTCAAAGGATCCACCTGCCTCAGCCTCCCAGAGTGCTAGGATTACAGGCGTGAGCCACTTCGCCTGGCCAGCAAGTCCTTTATAATTCTGCTAATTTTTTTTTTAGCTCACCTCTCTCTCTTTCACTCTCTCTCTTAATCTTTCCATTGTAGCTAAAAGAAACCAGCTGGAACTTTCAATACTCTTCCCAGAAACCTCCTTAGCTACATCACTGAGTTCATTGGGTACATCTTCTAACTTCCATGTTATGGCAGGCAACAGTGTCACTAAACTTTCCACTGCTATGTAGAAAGACTCCTTCTTTTCCTCCAGCTTCCAATAATTTTCTTATTTTCCTTTAAGCCGTTATTGACAGTCTTCTGGAGTCCTTTCAGGATTCTGTTAACAATCTTCTCAAAGTCTCTCTCGGCTTCTGTCTGCCACCCGTCCCAAAGCTAATGCCACATATTTTAGGCATTTCTTTTTTTTTTTTTTTTTTGAGACAGAGTCTCGCTTTTGTTGCCCAGGCTAGAGTGCCATGACATCAGCCTAGCTCACAGCAACCTCAATCTTCAAGGCAGCTGGGTTCTGAGAGGGAGTCTCCTGAAAGTGAGCATTCCATGAAAATCAGGTGGAAGTTCCATGGTCTTTTCTGACCTAGCATCAGAAGTCACGCAGCATCACTTCACCACTTTCTGTCAGTGTTGCATGGCTTTAAACTTAATTCATAGCTTGGGGTTTATAGGACTACCCAGGTAATATAAATGTGGTCTGGGAATCTATACTAGGGATGGTCTGTGGTTACAACTTTTGGGACAGTTTCTCCTACCACACTGCTCGGCAACTTTCCGTGCTGTCCACTGGGAGTAGGGTGGGGATGAGACCAGGGTCTCTTATTTGCCTCCCATCTTGGATCAGTCCTGGCCTGTCTTCCATGAAAACTGAAGTTCAAATTTGCTAAGTTTAGTAAATTTCCTCAAAAGTAGCATCAAAGTTCCACTTATCTCTTTGACATTCTTCTCTTAGATTTTAGCACAATATTGTCCTTACTTATATTGCATGCCGGTTTTTTAGAAGATGCTTTTGATATTTAAACCAGCAATCTTAGTTGTTTCCAAGAGGGTCAGTGTTGGATACACTGCTTGCTATGTTACTGGAAATGGAAGCCTTGAATCACCTGGTTGCTCATTTCAGAAACATGGGAGCCTTTTTTTTTTTTTTAATGAGACAGAATCTTGCTTTGTTGCTTTGGCTGGAGTGCAGTGGCATCGTGATAGTTCACTGCAACCTCAAACTCCTGGGCCCAAGTGATCCTCCTGCCTCAGCCTCCCAAGCAGCTGGGACTACAGGCCTGCACCACTGCACTGGCTAATTTTTCTATCTCTTGTAGAGATGGCTAAGAGATATTCATTCATTCAACAAGTACACAGAGAGTGCCTACTGTATCTATATACCAAAATTTGTATTGTTTTGAATATATGTGAATCCAACCTTGTGGGGTGGCCTTAGACTCCAAGTATCATTTGTAGCATAGTTTTTTTTGTTTTTTTTTTTTTTGGAGACAGAGTCTCGCTTTGTTGCCCAGGCTAGAGTGAGTGCCGTGGCGTCAGCCTAGCTCACAGCAACCTCAAACTCCTAGGCTCGAGCGATCCTTCTGCCTCAGCCTCCCGAGTAGCTGGGACTACAGGCATGAGCCACCATGCCCGGCTAATTTTTTATATATATATCAGTTGGCCAATTAATTTCTTTCTGTTTATAGTAGAGACGGGGTCTCGCTCTTGCTCAGGCTGGTTTCGAACCCCTGACCTTGAGCAATCTGCCCGCCTCGGCCTCCCAAGAGCTGGGATTACAGGCGTGAGCCACCACGCCCGGCCTAATTAACATTAGGCTTAGCCAATGTGCAAACTGAGGATTGCTTGCAAGGAACGTGGAGCAGCACAGTATGTTTCACTTGAGAAAAAGCTGCTGACTTTCATTATTGCTTCCTGGACGTGATGGGGAAGGGGCCAAGGCTGTGAGACACAATGTTTCCAAATGCAGCTATGTGTAAGGTACACAGAAAAGCAAACAGTGCGGGAATAGTGGTGTGTGTTTACTCAAACAGGCAGTGGAGATACCTGGAAAGTCTCTCAAATAGGTCGTTGGTGAATCAGTTATCTGATTTAGACCCTCTTTAAGTTGGGTGGGTTTTGTCAAGCTCGTATATATTGAGTAATATTTTTGCACTCAAAAATTAAATTATTTTTTGTCTCCCCCCACAACCACGCTTGACTAGCTTTAAAAAAAAAAAATTAAATTATTTTAAATAAAGACTGTGGAAGAAAAAATAATTAGGTTTTCATCTAGGGAAAATTCTCTAAGGAGTGTTTTTTTTGTTTTGTTTTATATATTTGTTTTTGAGACAGAGTCTCACTCTAGCCCGGGCTAGAGTGCAGTAGCGTCATCATAGTTCACTGCAACCTCCAACTCCTGGGCTCAAGCGATCCTCCTGCTTCAGCTCTGGAACTCCAGGTGTGCGCCAGCACGACCTGGCTAATTTTTCTATTTTTTGTAGAGACTGCTTCTCACATTTGCTCAGGCTGGTCTTGAACTCCTGGCTTCAAGCAATCCTTCCCCCTCAGCCTCCCAGAGTGCTAGGCACTGTGCTCAGCCAAATCTTTTTATGATTCCAAAGATAACAGTCTCATTAAAAAAAAAAAAAATTAAGCATTACAGAGAAGTATTTATTCATTCCACAGTTATTTGTGTAGCACTCACTTTGTATAAGACCCTACACTGATACGGAAAATGTCAGGTGCCGGGACGCAGCCACTTGCCACCTCCCCGTCACTCCGCATCTTCTCGGGCCAGCGCTGTGCGTGGCAAGTTGGAGGGCATGCTGCTGGGGCCAGCCAGCCAGAGAGCCACCTGGAGCCCTGCATGCTGGAATGTGGCCGGGCCCACGTGTTACCGCCAGCTTCCGGCTGCTCTGCTTGTGTGATCCTGATTGGGTAATTTTTGAATCCCACTGTTTTTGATTGGATGTTAAAGCTTGATGTTGATTGGATGTTAAAGCTTGATGTTGATTGGATGTTAAATCTTGTAGTTGATTGGACACTTTTTGAGCCCTACCAAGTGTATAAAAGCAGGAGGAGAACAAGGAAGGGGGGCAGAAGGGTCAGAAGATCGGAAGACAGGAGGAGAGCTGTAACACTAGCTGTGCTGAGCCTGCTGGGGAGGAATAAAGGCTGTTCTCCAACTCTTTGTGTGCTGCTCGGTTCTTTCCCTGGTCAAGAGCTGTAACACTAGCTGTACACTTGCCGCAACAGCACTACAGCTATAATAATGAACATAAAACATAATCTCCTATAAACTCACCTTCCAGAGAAAGCATTAATAATAGTCTGGTGCAGTGTGTTCTTAACTTCACTCATATCTGGATTCTAACTCATGGTGGTAAGTCTGTGGCCCCAGGCCCTCCCACTGTGGGCCCTAAGTCAGGAACCACTGCCCTAGAGGTCTTAGATGAAATGTTTGGCTTCACAGACTTCTGCCTCTGCAATACATGCTACTGATAGTCAAGAACCTTTAGCACCACACTTGACAAAACTCTATTCTGATTAAATTCATAGCCAATATCACTACAGAGTCAACTCCTTGTCTTGCACAAACACTTCTTCCTAATGGGAGCCACTTTCATGGGAGCAGGTACAAAGGCAAGCGAAGACAAACATTTCCTGCTGTCCATTTCATCAGATGTTGGTGAAGGGGGAAAATATACTATTTCAGATGCAAGGCAGCCAACAAATATTTGGTCAGTTAATGTCTTGGAGCCTTAGTACCCAGTAAAGATTGAATGTTGAGACCAACATTCCAGCTGTATTTGGAAGAAGGGGAGGTTTCATGTTGCTCTTATACAGGAAATTACTGGAGGAGGTACACACCCACATAGCTTTGAAGACCTTGTTTTCCGTCAGGCTCTGATGTCAGCACACTCCTCCCATGTCAGAGATGCTTGCAGAAGTGTGCTGGGTGGAGTGTCCAGATTAGGTGCCTCTCATTACACCTTGTCTTTTTGGTTTCAGTTTAATGGCGTGCCTGGGCACACAGTTTACAATCTAGCTTCCGGTTAATGTGTATGACATCAATCTTCAGCAATTTTAATTTTTGTACTTATTACTAAATTAAGTCTTCTTTAGTGATGCTTTAATTGTGAATTTTGGTCTAAATATTCAAGAGATTGGGACTGCAAACTAGTACAACTGTAAGGGAGAATTTTTCCAATTTTCATTTTTGTACTTATTACTAAGTTTTCTATAGTGATGCTTTAATTGTGAATTTTGGTCTAAATATGCAAGAGATTG